GCAGTTTTCATTCTTTTTGAAAATATTTATTGTGAGAGCGGATGCGTGCACAAGCAGGGGAGGGGGAGAGAGAGAGGAAGAGAGAGAATCCTAAACAGACTCTGCACTGTCAGCACAGAACCTGATGCGGGACTCAATCTCAAAAACCATGGGATCATGAACTGAGCTGATATCAAGAGTCGGACACTTAACTGAGCCACCCAGGTGCCCCGAGATCAAAATGTTTTAGTTAGAAATAGGAGGGAATCCTTCAGTCTCCTTTTCTTTGGTAACAAGAATTGTAAATCCTGAAAGAAATTAAGATAAAATCCCAGAAGGTAAGAAGAAAGTATGACACAAAATTTAATGTGTTCTTTTGGCACATGAAACTATGGTTTCTAAATTTTCTTCCTTTCTTTTTACCCTCCCTGTATTTGGGGAATAGTATCACTTCAAGAAAGTGGTAGTTTTTCATGAATTGCAACAGAAACTGTAAAAGGGTGATTATGGGTGTATCTGTTCAGCCAGGGTGGAGGTTCTGATACCTTCACCAGTTTCACTGAGTTAAAATCAGGTATGCTGTAACCAAACACTCAACCTTGAGGTAAATGTTAGGAAATAAAGGAAAACCAGTGGAGGTTCATCTTATCAGTAAATGTTTGAGGTAATTTTCTCTTAAAGGTGTTTAACAGTAATGAAAAGTTGTCTGTAATAATTGGTTTGTACTCAGAAGAGATGTGAAAAGAACAGGTGATTAGCTGCCAAAGTCTTGTGTTTCAGTCATCAGTCCACTTGCTGGTCATTATGTCAGTAATCCCATGGCCAACCTCTTCACTTATACTAGAACTTCCTCAGAAACCCAGTCAGTAGTGGTGATGTCTCACTGCTCCTCAAGGCTTCAATTCTGTGTATCCATAAGAGATTGTGGAAATAATTATTTTAGACATTTTCAGCCAGCTCCACACACTGAACTTTGCATCCCTGTTAATTTCAGCCACCACCAAGCATATGAAAGCCTCCAATCATCCATCATTTCTTGTTGTGACCTTCATACTTTTGCATGTATGTGCTCATTCCTTTACCAGTTTTCATTCCTTTATCAGTTTGGATCCTCTATGAAACAAATAACATAAAACTGCATTCAAGCTGGCTTAAATATAACTGGAAAATAGGTCTAGGTCAGGTTTCAGAATTAACTGTTATAAGGGTGATGTCAGTAAATATTTGCTTTCCTTCCTTTATTCTTCTGTTCACAGTGTTTATTTCATCCTAAGTCAGGTTCTACATAAGGTGGATGCCAGCTGCAGTCAAGAACACAAGCTTGCTTGGTCACACACAGTGGAAATAAGACCTGTTTCTCTCACAGGAGTTTGAGGGTAGGGGCAGCCACCTTCACAGATCGTGGACATGGCAGGGGGTGTGGTAGTCGTGGTGTGCATGGGTACTAGGAAGAAATATGTGCATAGACTTAGAGGGAGACAGTGAATGGCTGGACAATGAACACATATTTAGCTATCTATTCTACTCTTAGACTTCTGCCTTGTTATTTCTGGAACCCTTGTCCTGTAGTCAACAAACTCCTCCCCTTTTGATACTCTCTGGATTGTCTTTTCTTCTAGTAACCATTACTGAAATCCACTCAACCCTGGGGAAAATAATTTCTCTATATCCCTCTCTTTCACACCCCATATATCACAAAGTAAAGAGGAAAGACCACATCTTCTTTGTTTGCCAGCTCCTGCCTTGCCCTCACTTATGCTCCCAGACCAATACTTCTTCACCATTGTATAAACACCTTCAAGGCTCATAATCTGGTTTTATCATTCTATACCCTGCTCATGATGTCCTCCACCAGATACCTGGTTGGTCTTCTCCATTCTTTGAAGACTTTGGTTTCTGGCTCAGTCTTCCTTTCTATTCCCAGGCCCAGCTGTCAAGCTGCTGACTCCAGTGTTCACATAAACAATTTATCCAATACTAGATTGCATTCTTCAACTCATTTATATCAACCATCCACTTCTGGAAAAATGTCCTGAATCGTATCAGACTGCTTAACCTTTGAATTCTTGAATTCAAACCCACACTTTTTTACTACAACCTAACAACTCCCACTTTACCTGTTTTATTGATTTTACTGAGTCTGCAGTCTCTTTTCTTATCTAAAACACATCCAACTTGGGGCACCTGGGTGGCTCAGTCAGTTGAGTGTTTGACTTCTGCTCAGGTCATGATCTCTTGGTTTGTGAGTTTGAGCCCCACATCCAGCTCACTGCAGTCAGCCTGTCAGCACTGAGCCTGTTTGGGAACCTCTGTTCCCCTATCTCCGCCACTCCCCCATTTGCACTCTCCCAAAAATAAAAAAATAAAAATAAAAGTAAAATATATCCAACTCTAGAGAATCACTTAGATGTACTCTACAGTTCTTTACCTTCTTCCTATCCCTCAATCATTGTAGTCTGACCTCCACCCCACCATCCCGCTGACACTACTCTTGCCAGAATCATCAATGACATTCCTGTTGCTAAATTTAACAGACTCTTCCATCTTTCTTGAGATTTGTACATTTGGTAGTTATTTACTCCCTCTTTTTTTTTTTTTTTTTTTTTTTTTTTTTTTTAAGTAGGCTCCACGCCCAGGGTGGGGCTTAAACACTTGACCTTGAGATCGAGAGTTGAATGCTCTACCAACCCAGCCAGCCAGGTACCCCTCCCTCCCTTTTTTTCTGCTTACTTTTCACAGCTTCCTAAATCCATTCTGGTTTGGTTTTCCTTTATCTCCATGATTAAACTAGAGTTAGGGCTCAGTTCTGTTCTTAATCTGCAAACTCCCTTGGGCCAGTTCAACCATTCCTCTAACTCCAATTATCATCTCATATTAATGAATTCCATTTAAATGTGCCACACCACTTCAAACTTGTCATGTCCAAAATTGAATATCTCTTCCCCCTCTCCAAAAAACCTTCTCCTCTTTCTACATTGCCTATTTTAATGATGTTACCACCATCCATACATCCAATTACAAGAATCTTGGACAACATCCTTGACTTTCTCACCCTCCACCCCTATACCAAGTACCAAGTCATACTGATTCTACTTCCTGAATATCTTTTAAGTCACTCCAGTTCCCCCCTTTTCCTAATTCAGTATACCATGATATTATGCTCCAGTTACAGGCATAGCTTTCCTCTAGTATAATCTCTCTTTCCCAAACCTTTCAACTCACTTTGATTTGGGCAATTTCTCTAAAATGTATACCTTATTTCATCTCTTACCTGGTTAAAACCCCTCAGTGGCTCTCTCACGGACTTCAGGTTGAACTCTTTATTGATTCCCAAGGCTCTTCATATTCTGTAGTCCTTACTGACCTTATCAGATTTCTCTCTCCTTACAGCTTTTGGCATTTAGATAATTTCTGGATGTAGTCCAGATGTTGGCTTGCTCCTTGTTGCCTCTGTAAAATCTTCCAAGAAAAGTTCCTTCTGAGGTCTTTCAGAGTTCCCTCTGCTTATACCTGTCATCTCACTCACTCAATATAGAATAATAGTTCCTTTATCAATTTGTCTCTCCACAATAATAGCAGAATCTTAGTAAGTTTGCCTGTTTATCCTTGATGCCTGTCACAATAACCAGACAATATATGCTCATAAGTATTTGTTAAGTGAATGACCTTAAATAAGTCATTAGCCTCTCTGAGCCTCAACTGCCTCATCATTAAAAAGGGAATAATGCACTGCCTACCTCATAGGGTTGTTTTGGGGTCTTGTAAGATAATAGGATTGAAGTTTAGCGTAGCAGTTAAGAGTGTGAGTTCTGGATCTCTATTATCTCCGTCTGGTTTTTAATCCTAGCTCACACCATATAACCAGCTATGTGACTTTGGACAAGTTACTTAACTTTCCTGTGTTTTAGTTTCCTCTTTAGTAAAATGAGAATAACTACAGTATCTGCCTCATAGTTTTGTTTTGAGGACTAAGTGAATAAATGGCAAGCATTTAGTACAGTGCCTAAACACACAACAAATGTTAGCCATTAATTATAATATTTTTATTTATAAGTTCTAAAATTATTTTGCATGATATATAGTACATATATACACACATATGGCATCAATTATTAGTTTGAGGTTTTCAGGGAGGTAAAGGATTGTTATCATTAACTTAATTTCTTTTGTCTTTTAGAATAATGCCATAGCAATACCAGAGTTTATTTCCCAAACCTTAAATTCAAATTTTCATAGTTGGTTTGTGTGAAATTTTGGTAAAAAAACATTTTTTTACATGCTGTTCATTATAAAAACGTTTTGAAACACTGTAGATAGATGTTGACACAGGAAATAACTTTTTTTATTTTAATTTTAATTTTTTCTTAATTAAAAATTTTTTAACATTTATTCATTTTTGACAGAGAAAGAGAGAGAGTGGGCGAGGGGCAGAGAAAGGGATACACAGAATCCGAAGCAGGCTCCAGGCTCCGAGATGTCAGCACAGAGCCCGATGTAGGGCTCAAACCCACAAACAACGAGATCATGACCTGAGCTGAAGCACACTTAACCAACTGAGTCACCCAGGTGTCCCTAATTTTTATTTTTTTTAAGATTTTGTTTTTTTAAGTAATCTCTACATCCAACGTGGGGCTTGAACATAGAACCACAGGATCAAGAGTTACATGGTCTTTTGACTGAGCCAGCCAGACGCCCCAGCACCAGGAAAACATTTATATAAGAAAGATTACTGGCTTAATTTATAAAGGACAGTTATTATGTCTTTGACACCTAATTTCATTTCTCACCATGACTTAATTACATGACCAATTCAGTGTTTGGTAAGTACTAATTTCATTAAATCTACATTCAAGGGAAAAAAAAAACAAATGCATTTAATTTTGTGCTTACGTGTTCACCTGAAAGAGACTTGCTCAATTTTATTAAAAAGTTCTTTTTAATATAATTAGACAGTATACATTTGTGTATTGGCTTTGGACCAACAGATGTCTAATTTTTATTCTTTTTCTGTTTCTTTTCAGAGTTGGTGGTGCCAGGATTTTATTCAGAATGACTTTAGGAAGAGAAGTGATGTCTTCTCTTCAGGCAATGTCTTCCTATACTGTAGCTGGCAGAAATGTCTTAAGATGGGATCTTTCACCAGAGCAAATTAAAACAAGAACTGAGGAGCTCATTGTGCAGACCAAACAGGTGTACGATGCTATTGGAATGCTTGACATTGAGGAAGTAACTTACGAGAACTGTTTGCAGGCACTGGCAGATGTTGAAGTGAAGTATATAGGTGAGTAGCATGCAGATGCCCATCGATATTTCATTTTGTAGGCATCATAAACCATTTTATGCTTTCTGTGTTGGCAATCATTTTCCAGTTTTACAAGACATTGATTTTTCCATAATGATTAATTGCTTAGAATTCAATTAAATAAAATTAGAATGTTTTATTATGTTGGCAGTGGTGCTACAAAATGTACCATCTCATTACATCTGCTTTCTGGAGAGTATTTTGACATAATATATCAAAACTCTTAAGAAGTTCATACCCTAGCCCAGCAGTTCCACACCTAAGCATTTAATCTAAATAAATTATCAGATACAGGAAAAATTATGTACAAATTTATGTATAAACAGGTACTCTGTCGTAGCAGAACCTTGGAAACAACTCCTGGGTGCCATCCAGCATATAGAAGGCCCACGTAATGGTATGCTCAGGCTCTGCAACACTATGTAGCCATAATCATGTTGAGGAACAGCATTTCTTAACATAGAAAAAAAATACAGAGACGAAAACCAGAAGAAAATTTTACTAGTAGCTAATTTCTTAGGTATCGGATTTATGCTTGATTTTTTAAAATTTACTCTCTATGCCTTTCTCTATTTTGCATATTTCCTATACTTAAGATACATTATTTCTATAATATAAGTATTAGGCCCTTTGAGTTAAAGGAATGGGGATTCACTCCAATTGCCCCTAAGGGTTAGACATATTCTGTGATATAGTTATGGCTAAACAACCTTAGCTATCCAGGTTTTGTAAGAACGTAAGTTATCGGAATATCATAAACATTTGTATGTATTCTGGAATTTGGAAGGTTGTCCAGAATCCTGTACAGCCCTAGTGACCTAGTCATCTCTTAACCCTCACCAACCCCTCAACACCAAGAATTCCCTACCCTGTGCCCCACCTTAATAGGGACTCTCTTACCTCTTCTGTTTCAGTTTCTGCCTCTTCCCACCAGCTGCTTTACTCTCATTAATGGCCACTAAATCTGGATAAAAGTCTTGAGTTTACTAAATAAAAAAGACCTGGTGGGTCTCGTTAGTCAAACTCAAAGGGATGGAGTTGGTTCGCATTTGGCAGAGTTTTCCCAGAAGGCAATATTTTGTGTGTCTCCCTTGCTATATGTGGTTTGTCCTTGGTTCAGAGACTCATTTCTTCTTCAGTCACATATGGCCAACATGGTGTGCCAGCCTGGTGAATTATGCATTTACAAATATAAAAATCAGTGGGAAAAAAAACAAAATCTTTTTAAAAATTATCTTAAAGTCTGCTGCTTTTTCAATAATACATCTTTTATTTTTTTTAATGTTTATTTATTATTTTTGAGACAGAGAGAGAGCATAAGTGAGGGAGGGGGAGAGAGAGAGGGAGACGCAGAATACAAAGCAGACTCCAGGCTCTGAGCTGTCAGCACAGAGCCCAACACGGGGCTCAAACTCAGAAACCGTGAGATTATGACCTGAGTCGAAGTCAGACATTTAACCGACTGAGCCACCCAGGCATCCCCCAGGAATGCATCTTTTTTTTTTTTTTTTTTTTTTCAACGTTTTTTATTTATTTTTGGGACAGAGAGAGACAGAGCATGAACGGGGGAGGGGCAGAGAGAGAGGAAGACACAGAATCGGAAACAGGCTCCAGGCTCCGAGCCATCAGCCCAGAGCCTGACGCGGGGCTCGAACTCACGGACCGCGAGATCGTGACCTGGCTGAAGTCGGACGCTTAACCGACTGCGCCACCCAGGCGCCCCAGGAATGCATCTTTTAAATATACTTTTAGTTTTCAGAAGTCCTTGCTCTCTCATAAATTTACCTCTGTAAGTTAATCCTAAAAATTTTTGAGTTTAGGAGATTTTTAAAGACCAACTTTATCTTATCTATATTTGTTCTCAGAGCTCATTCTGCCTCCTGCAGTAACTGTTAAAACCTCATTTGACTAGTGTCCAATATTGTTTATAGTTTGGCAGTAAGAGCATAAGTCTGGTTTAGGTCTTTGTGGCAAAGTAAGGAAGGAAATGGTTTTTAGTATTATTGTTTGTTTAAGAATATGTTTCCAGTTTTAGGCTCCTGCATTTTGTTCTGCTCATTTTAGTTCTTGAGCAATTTGATTTTTTCTTAATATCTCCTTGACTTAATTTTAAAAAGTAAATAGAAATTATACCTATATAGTTAACTCTATCACTTAAACAGGTGCTACATCTATGAAACTTTAATTCTGTTCCATTCTTTAATCAAGGAACATAAAAGTGTATATTAAATCAAATCCTTAAAGAATAATTATTTAATTAGACTTTTTAAACCACATGTTATGAATTTATGCAGATATTTGAGGTGATTTTTCTTTTTACAGCTTTATAGCACTGTTTTAAGAGGACTGATATGAGCGAGGTAGCTTGTTTAACTGGATAGTTTCTTGGTATGGAAAGGATAGCTCTACTGTCTACCATATATCATATGTGGAAGTTTTACCTGTTTACAATACCTTCAAAGTACTAAAGCTAATAAAAGTGTATTCATTGTAACAGTATAGCCACACCGTTCCTATAAACCGTACTCATTTTGTGTTGCCTAGCTGGCTCAGTCGCTTAAGCGTGCAACTTTTGATTTTGGCTCAGGTCACGATCTCATTGTTCATGGGTTAGAGCCCCATGTCAAGATCCTCACTGTCAGCACGGAGCCTGCTTGGGATTCTCTCTCTCTCTCTCTCTCTCTCTCTCTCTCTCTGTCTCTGTCTCTCTCTCTCTCTGTCTCTCTCTCTCTCTGACTTTCCCCTCCCTCCTCTCTCTGTCTCTCTGTCAAAAATAAATAAAGAGATGCCTGGGTGGCTCAGTGGTTAAGCATACAACTTCAGCTCAAGTCATAATCTCATGGTTCGTGAATTTGAGCCCTGTATCAGGTTCTGTACTAACACCTCAGAGCCTGGAGCCTGCTTCCGATTCTACACCTCCCTCTCTGTGCCCCTCCCCTCCTCATTCTCTCTCTCTCTCTCTCTCTCTCTCTCTCAAAATTAAATAAACATTAAAAATTTTTTTAAATAAATAAAAACAAACAAAAAAAATAAACCATACTCATTTTTTCTGTAGTTGGGGTCATTTCACTGACATCAGATTTTTGCCCGATGAAAGTCACAATACAAATGTATTAAAAACCCAAGAAAGAATTTTAATATGTGAAAATTAGAGCAGTTCGTTACCACCATCATTTAATAGGAATAGTCCCAATATGCAACTGTTCACTGGATGTGTCCACTGAGATTTCTGGGAATCTTCTAAAATTGTATGGAACTTTTATGCTTGTATGAACGTTTGCATTTCGGGGAGGGTCCATAACTTTGACTAGATTCTCTAAAGAATCTGTAGTGAAGGTTAGGAATTTCTATTTTAAATAAACTTCCCCCACCCCAACTAAATTGGTCTGCTTTTCTCTGGAAAACAGTGTGGAGGTTCCTCAAAAAATTAAAAGTAGAACTACCCTATGACCCAGCAATACCACTGCTAGGAATCTACCCAAAGGATACAGGAATGCTGATGCATAGGGGCACATGTACCCCAATGTTTATAGCAGCACTTTCAACAATAGCCAAATTATGGAAAGAGCCTAAATGTCCATCACCTGATGAGTGGATAAAGGAGATGTGGTTTATATATATAAGGGAATACTACTTGGCAATGAAAAGAATGAATTCTGGCCATTTGCAGCAACATGGATGGAACTAGAGGCTATTATGCTAAGTGAAATAAGCCAGGCAGAGAAAGGCAGATATCATATGTTTTCACTCATATATATGGATCTTGAGAAACTTAACAGAAGACTATGGGGGAGGGGAAGGGGAAAAAAAAGTTACAGAGAGGGAGGGAGGCAAACTATAAGAGACACTGGATACTGAGAACAAACTAGTGTAGATGGGGGTGGGGGAGAGGGGAAAGTGAGTGATGTGTAGGGAGGAGGGCACTTGTTGGGATGAGCACTGAGTGTTGTATGGAAACCAATTTGACAATAAATTATATTTAAATAAATAAGTAAGTAAGTAACTAAGTAAGTAAGTCTGCTTTTTTCTAAAACATCCTCTGTCTCTGCCAGTCCCCATGCTTGTAGTCTCTACTTTTCCAGTCCTCTCCTGAGGTCTTCCTCTTGCCCTGCCCGCCCTAAGGTCCAGCCTTCATCATAGGTATTACATAGTGCTCCCGTCCTAATATTGCTGTGTTCGAGTTACTATCCCATTCTTGTGGCAACTAAGCTGCTCTATCCTGTATTCTTTATCTTTTCATGTACTATTCCCTCCTCCCACACACCAGATTATAAAATGTGTTAGTATGAGAACTATGTCTTTATCTTTCAGCATTCCCAGTTAATAAGTTACACCCTAAACATTGATAAGTGCTCAGTTTATACCCTTATTGTTCCTAATAATGCCCCTGAAACAGCCAAGTCCTGCATTAGATGCTGTTTCCTGATAGCCTTACAAAACTTTACAGAAGGTATAAAATGAAAACCTTATATTAGGATAATCATTCATCTAGGTAGGAGGTATTTTTCTTAATGCTGATTAGATGAATCCTTATGATTTTGTCCTCTATTGACAGTGGAACGAACCATGTTAGACTTTCCCCAGCATGTCTCCTCTGACAAAGAAGTGCGGGCAGCAAGTACAGAAGCAGACAAAAGACTTTCTCGTTTTGATATCGAGATGAGCATGAGAGAAGATATATTTCTGAGAATTGTTCATTTACAGGTAAATGATGTTATAAACCCTTTTAAAAGAAAAACAAAATCTGTACTAAAAAAGTAAAAATCTTTGACCAACAATATAAAGTATTTGAGGGCACTTGGACGGCCCAGTAGGTTAAGCATCAGACTTTTGATTTCGTCTCAGGTCATGATTTCATGATTTCAAGTTCGTGAGTCCAAGCCCCACATCAGGCTCTGCGCTGACAGTGTGGAACTTGCTTGGAATTCTCTCTCTCTCTCTCTCTCTCTCTCTCTCTCTTTCTCTCTTTCTCTCCCTCTCTCTTTCTCTCTTTCTCTCCCTCTCTCTTTCTCTCCCTCTCTCCCTCTCTCCCTCTCTCCCTCTCTCCCTCTCTCCCTCTCTCCCTCTCTCCTCTCCCTCTCCCTCCTCTCCCTCTCCCTCCTCCCTCTCCCTCCCTCTCCCTCTCCCTCTCCTTCTCCCTCCTTCTCTCTCTCTCTCTGTTCCTCCCCTGCTTGTATTCTCTCTTTCTCTCAAAATAAACAAATAAACTTTAAAAAAATGTATTTGAAAATTTCTAGATTTTGTTTCTATTATAGCAATGGGTACAGCATAGTATTTATCGTTATACTACATAGGTTAATGTTGAGTTGCTAATTACATTCACTTAATACTAAAGACCAAGTGTGAAAAAGTGTACATCTATAAATCTAAGGATTGTTAATTGTCATGAACATAATGGTTACTCTTTGAATTTTCTAAATGTTGCAAGGTTTATATTAGATCAGATCAACTAAATGGAATAGAATTGTTTATCTGTAAATATCATGTGGTTTTGGCCATGATATTAATGACATACTGTTGATGCTGCATGCCAAAGTCATTCCTCTCTGTCATCCTTACATTTTTCAAGACTCACAGAAATTACAGATAATGAATGTTTTAGGTGGGTCTGCCTTGAGTGCTTTTTTTTATTTTTAATTTTTTTTAACGTTTATTTATTTTTGAGACAGAGAGAGACAGAGCATGAACAGGGGAGGGGCAGAGAGAGAGGGAGACACAGAATCTGAAACAGGCTCCAGGCTCTGAGCAGTCAGCACAGAGCCCGACGCGGGGCTCGAACTCACGGACCACGAGATCATGACCTGGGCCGAAGTCAGACGCTTAACTGACTGAGCCACCCAGGCGCCCCTGCCTTGAGTGCTTTTGATATTTTCATCACCAATGTTGATTTGCTTCCTAGCATTTTCATCATGTCTTTGCTTTGAATTTTTATTTTCATGACACTCAGCAATTTGTTTGGGAAACAGCCACTGTTTATAATCCTAGACATTTTTGTTTAATTTTGCATGTTTCTTTATTCAAATCTCAAACATTTTGGGGGCACCTGGGTGGCTCAGTCCGTTGGGTGGCCGACTACAGCTCAGGTCATGATCTCACGGTCTGTGAGTTCGAGTTCCACATCAGGCTCTGTGCTGACAGCTCAGAGCCTGGAGCCTGCTTCCGATTCTGTGTCTCCTTCTCTCTCTGCCCCTTCCCTGCTTGCTCTCTGTCTCTCTCAAAAACAATAAACATTTAAAAAAATTTTTTTTAAATCTCAAACATTTTGTTCCTTTTAGCAAATTATGGTAAGAGTTGAAATAAGAAAGCAGTTTTATTTCACATTTTAACTTACTAAAGAATATGTAATCAAGACTTTAGACATTTAAGATATATGTGCTATTCTCTCATGTCAGATAGGCACTTTTTACCCTGTAATTTATATTCATCTATATTGTTCATAACTGTTCATCTTTTTTTTTTAAGTTTATTAATTTTGAAAGAGAGAGGAGGACAGGGGCAGAGAGAGGGAGAGAGAGCATCCCAATCAGGCTCCTCACTGTGAGTGCAGACCCCAATATGGGGTCAAACTCACTAACCATGAGATCATGACCTGAACTAAAATCAAGAGTCAGATGCTTAACCAACTGAGCCACCCAAGTGCCCCCATAACTGTTCACCCTTAGCACTATAAAAATAACATAAACTTTAATAACTTCATGATTATTCTTTATTAGTTACATTGTTCTCTTTTTTTTGACCTCAGTTATTACTCTGTGTGATTCAAATCATGGCCCTTACAGTCTCCTTTATTTTATTTCATCCCCCCCCCCAATCTAATTCCTTTCTAGCTTTGTATTAGGTATATATTTTAAAACTTTTTCCAGAATATCTCATTTTCTTTTGTTAACTCTGTTTTCATTCTGACTTCGAAGTTTTCATTTGGAATTTTCTAGCCTCAAGAAGGTATTGCAATCTTAATGTTATATATCGTGTTTAATGTTTTTCTCTGATATTTATGAATGTTCTCAAGATATGGAAGGTGTGTCACTTTAGATTTCTTTGTTACACTTTTATTGGAATCTGATCCCAGTAAATTTGGAAACAAACTGCTGCCGGGATAGTATACTAAAATACTATACCAGATAGACAACAGTGCATTCATCATATTAGTTCATTTGTTTGGGCTGGTTTTATTGTAATAATTTACAGTGGTTTCAGAGTCATTTCCATAATTTTTCCTTTTTTCCAAGAGAGTAATTATTCCCATGCATGTCATTCGTTCTGTGACCATTGGTAGGAGCTTTTACTGTATCTGTTAAGGCTAGATCAGAATAATAAACAAATAACAATTTTTTTTTTTTTTAATTTTTTTTTCAACGTTTATTTATTTTTGGGACAGAGAGAGACAGAGCATGAACGGGGGAGGGGCAGAGAGAGAGGGAGACACAGAATCGGAAACAGGCTCCAGGCTCTGAGCCATCAGCCCAGAGCCCGACGCGGGGCTCGAACTCACGGACCGCAAGATCGTGACCTGGCTGAAGTCGGACGCTTAACCGACTGCGCCACCCAGGCGCCCCAACAATTTTTTTTTTTTTATGTAGTGGAGCTTATCTGGTGAATTTAGTTACCTTTAAATACCTTCATTGACAAATAGTTGTGTTTATTTAGGCAGTATTTTTTTTATTGTATTTTATTTTTTTGATAGAGACAGGATGACTGTTGGAAAGGGGTAGAGGGAGATGACAGAGAGAGAGAGAAAATCCCAAGCAGGCTCAATGCTCAGCATGGAGCTTGACGTAGGACTGAATCCCACCACCCTGGGATCAATCACGACCTGAGCTGAAATCAAGGTGGACGCTCAACGAACTGAGCCACCAGGTGCCTCTATTTTATTTTAATTCTAATATAGTTAAGATATAGTTTTAAATTTCTTTCAGGTATACAATATAGCCATTTGACAATTCTATATATTACTCGGTATATAGGCAGTATTTTTTAAAATCTAAAAGTATCAATATGAGTTTTCTGCTAGTACTGGACACTTTAACAAATGGTAAATTTCATCCCATTCATACCTAACAGACAAAGGTAGATATATCTATTTACTTTTCAATATAATGTTGTAAGTAAAATAGGGCAACCATGATGTGACACATAAAGCCTTCATTAAGTTGGATAATAGGTTCTTAAAAGTATATGAAATCAGCAATTTCAGGCATAACCTACTAAAATGAGGGTACTGTGAGTAATACTGAGATTTCAAGATACCACCAATGTAGACAATAATCAAATATATTTTTAGTTTGATATCAAATGTTATTTTAGCTCTCGTGTTGTTCTTCACGTAGGATTAATAAATAGAAATAAGAAATTAGGGGCACCTGGCTGGCTCAGTCAGTGGAGCATGCAACTCTTGATGTCAGGGTTCTGAGTGCAAGCCCCACATTGGGCGTAGAGATTACTTAAAAAATAAAATCTTTAAAAAATATATGAAATTACTTTTCTCAGTTCTTTGTGCAAAATCTGCGTTCAGTAAGCCTTCCAGTTATCTATTGATGTATAATCTATTACTTCAAAACTTACTGCCTAAAAATAGCAGCAATCATTTTTTTTTTTTCCGTCATGGTTTCTGTGGATCAGGAATTCAGAAAGGAATCAATCAGTTGGGTAGCTCTGGCTTGGGGTCTTACATGGAAAAAGGAAGTGGTGGTTGGAGCTGAAGCATGTGGAGGCTAACCAGACATCTCTCTCTTGGTGTCATGTCTGGGCACCTACATGTTGTCTCTTCATGTGGCCTAATTTGGGCCTCCTCATAGCATGGCAGCATCAGGGTAGTAGGACTTGTTTCATGGAGACTCAGGACTCCAAGAATGGTGTTTCCACAAACTCCACAGAAGCCGCCGTTACATTTTCTGACCTCAGAAGTCACCTAGCATCACTTCTGCCATACTGTACTGATTGACCAGTCACTGCGATCTGCCCGAATTCAGGGGACACGACATCTCAGTCTAAGGAGTATCAACTTATTTGCAGTCATGTTTCAAAACCTCCAAAATAAGTCCTGTGTTGACTCTAGATGGATGAAATTATAATTGAGCCTGAGACTAACCAGTGTGCCATAGTCTTCCTGCCTCTTTCTTATGTGTGATTAGTACTTCACATTTACACAGCAGTATAGTTATCTAATTTAACTTTCCTACCAAGCTTGTGTGGCATCCCTTTTTTATAAATGGAGATACTGAAGTTCAGAAATGGTAACTTCTCAAGAGCCACAGAGGTAAATATTTAGTCATTGATCATAAACTAAAGCTAGAAACAGTTGGTGACCAATCTGAAAGCTAGGCCTTTAGGAATTGGTGCTAGGACAGGGGTTTTCAAATGTGGGAAAGAAAAAATTGGTTCTTCTCCTCACAAGCAAACTGAGAAACAGCTTTTCGAAAATTACATAGGAATATGTCTTTATGATACCTGAGCAGAGAAGTATTTGTGAAACAAGACCCCAAAGTCCTAACTAAAGCATAAGACGGATAAACACGATTGCATTAAAATAAAGAACTTCTGGAGTTCCTGGATGGCTCAGTCAGTTAAGCATTCTATTCATTCGGATTCTAAGTCTCCCTCTCTCTCTGCCTTTCCCCTGCTCACACACACACTCTCTCTCTCTCAAAAATAAGTAAACTTAAAAAAAAAAAAAATACGGGAGCCTAGGTGGCTAGGTTGGTTAA